GAAATAAGACAGTGGATTACATTGTAACGTTTTTATTTCTTTGAGGGGATAATGTGGAAAAATTAATTATTCGGGAGGCCAAACTGAGCATTTTTGTATCTTTCAAGGGCAAAATGGGATTGATCATAAATTTTGATCTTTCAAGTGACTTTTCTTCTTCGTCTTCTCCTTCTTCCTCAGCTTTTTCTCCCCTCCCTCCTCCTCCCTCTCCTTCATTCTTCCCCTTTTCCTTCTCCAATTCTGTTTTAGTTTCTGTTTCTCGCAATTCACCAATGTTCCTCACTTCCATTCTCTTCCTCCTTATCCTTCTTTTTTTCCTCCCTCATTCTTCCTCTCGTTTTTCCTCCTCCTCCTTCTCTTTCTCCCCACTTCTTCCTCTCAATTTTCCTCTTTTTCCTTCTCTTTCTCCTTTTATGCTCTTTATCCCTCTTTACTTCTCTTCTATTTCCTCCCTTCTTTTCCTCCCTATTTTCATTTTCCCCTTTCTCCTTCTCATTGTCCTTATTCTTTCGTACCACCAGAAATTAAGCTAACCCCCAGAAACCGCAGTTTCAAAGAGCAAATCAATAGCGGTCCTTATTCATTCCCCTCCGGTGTAAAGTGTTGAAGTGACTCACTAAAGATTCCACAAGTGGGATTATCTGCTTCCCAAGTTGAACTACTTCGATGACTGTTCTAAAGTCATGGTGTTGTGGTNAACTGAAGGTGTTATGCCTTTTAATATTTCGAAAGAGTTCTCTTTTGCAATTTTTCATCTTCTGTATAGAGTGTAACTGATGTCACGAAGAGCTGTTCNGACATCAAGTCACCACTGATACGTGGTGGCACTATGTAATGACAAACAATAAGTGGTTAAAATGAACTTCATTTTATTGCATAAGTAGTTATTATCTTATATAGATAGGGTATTATTAAACTTTATGGGATTCGCTTGTCTACTTATATTATTAGGTGGTGACACAACTAATTCCTTGAAGTGGAGGAAAAAGAGAGTGAACAATNATGTATGTTCTAAATTGCCAATGTGATCTTTCTTGGAAATGGTTATTGCCAATGCTGGCTTACAAGCTCTTTGTGCCTGATTCAAGTGCTAGAGAAGCCAAGTCAAATTAATCTTCCAGTCAAAGGCAGAATGCCACTAACTGAAAAATCAGTGAATAGAGCCAAAAAATCAGCAACTATGTATGNAGATCTTGATTAGGATAACTAATTGAGCCAAAGAGAGATAGCTGGACATCATCACTTTTAAAATTTGAATGTACTGCATTGTCCAACAGGGAGGGTTTCATTGCTTCTATACCCATCTCCTCTTTTATTTTCATAACACTAGTAATCCCGTGTGGTGAAATATACTTCTTCAACCAAGGGCNGAGTCCTGTATGCTTTCTGCAAGGCTGAAAAGGATGGGGTTTTGAGAGCCAGAAGTTGAGGTGAGGATGCTGCAGGCTGTACAGAAGAAAATACTACAGTTTTATAGCAATTTTTTCTGATTTTTTTTAATCAGTTTACTGTTTTCTATATTTTTGTTTAAACAGTTTCTGTTCTTGATTCTTGTAATTTTTGAGATTCAATCAAATAAGATTTCCCTTTCTTAAAAAAAAAGATGGAAGAAGAGAAACGAGTGAATCCAATTTAGAAATATAGCATCTAATCGTGGATCTATTTAATTTAAATCGTTTCAAAAATAAAAGCAGTGTTACAAAAGTGGTCATTCTTTAAGCTCCTCATTTAATGTATAGTGGTTTGCACCATCCTTATACTGCATTAGAAAGAGAAGGCATCAACATGGGATCATTTAGATTAAGGGCATGATCTTTCATGTAGATTTCAATATTTTTCATCCAAAGATAAATGGCAGATTAAATATTTATGGTGGTGGCACTTGCCTTTGTAGCCCTTCTTCACCGTACTGATCATAGATTGCTCTCTTTTGTGGATCATTTAGAACTTAATAAATCAAATTTTTTTTAAAAAAATTAACATCGGCTACCATTACACACTAATTACTCAGTGGTAAGTTGGTGGATCATGTCCCCTCTTTTTCCTTCTAAAAAGAGTGAAGCTAGAGGGGTGCCTGACTGATAAAAATTGCTCCGTTTCTTGAGAAAAAATTCAATACTTTTAATGTACCATCAGGCGCCAGTGGTGTAAAATGTTATACATTCACATACCATGAATCTCCATCTTTTTTATATCGCTCAGGATGGTGACGACGAGCAAGATGCTCCTGCGCAATATAAGTTACTATTTTGACTCTACCAAAACCCATAACCATCAAAGTTCAAAAAAAAAAAAAACATCACCATCAAAAAATGCCACAAGTGAAATCAAAGTCAAGCTTCATCTAATGTCGGTAGAACCAAAAGAAATCTCATTTCATTCACATGTTTCAATTTAATCTATATTAACATTTTCAGTCTTCCGAAATTCTGATCTCATTCTCATTCGATAATGAAACAGCAGAAAATGACAACACAAAAAAAAACAACACAAAGCAACAGAAATCTGAGTCATTATATGCGATTATCCACTCAACAGGACTTCAATAAACCAAGCACAACAAAAAAAGAGAAGCCAAAAACTCGTGACTTCAGAGAGCAACACAAACCCAAGAAAAGAGTGTCTTGACTATTTTGAAAGCTTGAAGTATAAAATTAAGATGATAGCAACAAGAAGGACCACAATCACAGCTCCGATAATCCACTTGTTCCTGCTCATCCTTCTTGACATGGCAGTCAAAATTTTTTTACTCCTGCTCATGTTGTCATCCTCTCCATGAAAGCTGAAACAGGAAAGAGGAAGTGAAACACCAAGGTCCTCTGTCTGGTTTAAGACAGCATCACTGCAAGGAATATCAAATCAAATATACCTGTGTTATGGGCATGTAACAGAGATTGTCGCTGTTGGTGCAGATCTTGAAGAAGTGAAACACCAAGGTCCTCTGTCTGCAGCATGGTCCTCCTACTTTCCCTTATTCTATCATTGGACTTGTTTAATCTTTCCGTCGACATTAATAAACTTTCTCTTTGATTGGTCANTCTCCAGCATGGTCCTCCTACTTTCCCTTATTCTATCATTGGATTTGTTTAATCTTTCGGTCGACATTAATAATCTTTCTCTTTGATTGGTCGATACCTATTGCAGTTATTGGAGAATTTAGAATGCATAATGATGGGAGATTCAAAATGATTAATTGACTTGGGTTCTCTAGCACTTGAATCCGGCACAAAGAGCTTGTAAGGCCGCATTGGCAATAACCATTTCCAACAAAGATCACATTGGCAATTTAGAACATACATGTATACACTTCAGGGAATGGACCAATTATTATAATCCAATTACTCAATACCCAACTCAATAACACAATCAATAATCAACTCAACTCAATAATCTACTCAATAACAAGATCTTTTACCTCCCTACCAAACCAAACCACTCCGAGAGTTTTGGCTAGAGCAATCAACTAAGGAATTAATCCAGGATCCTACATAACTGTAGAGTTTCACTGCACGTGGGTGCACATTAGATTAAGGGCATGATCTTCCAAAACNAAATCAGGCACAAAGAGCTTGTAAGGCAGCATTGGCAATAACCATTTCCAACAAAGATCACATTGGCAATTTAGAACATACATATATACACTTCAGGGAATGGACCAATTATTCTAATCCAATTACTCAATACCCAACTCAATAACACAATCAATAATCAACTCAACTCAATAATCTACTCAATAACAAGATCTTTTACCTCCCTACCAAACCAAACCACTCCGAGAGTTTTGGCTAGAGCAATCAACTAAGGAATTAATCCAGGATCCTACATAACTGTAGAGTTTCACTGCACGTGGGTGCACATTAGATTAAGGGCATGATCTTCCAAAACAAGAGACTATTTTGTGTCTTCTCTATTTATCTGGCATATGGGTATGTTTTCTTTTTTCAGAAACCATGACAAGAGCCATGTACATGTGCATTCAAAAATCAACAATACCTAGAGAATACCTTCACTACATGACAAGAGATTACCACTTTGTTTAGTTGCATGAAAATGAAAGCAACACAGAATACCACTGGTAAAAGCAGCCCACCTTATTCTCTAGACAGGTCCATTCAGACATATTACATCATCCACAATCCCATACATACTGGTGATTTTTTCTTACCCTTGTGATTTTTGTATATGATTTGCTATATATTGTACATCATAGTTTTGGAGGTTTCAAACTAATATAATAGTTAAACTAGAACATAACATAGGACTTCGACTAGGCAATTGCATTGTTTAACTTTTTTCCTTTGCCAATCTAAATATCATCCTCGTTGTTAGAGTGAGAAAAAGTGAAAAAAATTAAATATGTACCTCATATAAATTAAATGAAATAAATAAAATAAAGATGTACTAAGGCCTTAATCGACAATTTTATACAATTGTAGAATTTCAACTACCAATCTTAAGCTACTGACAAATTTCAAATCAAAACCAGCACACTTACCTCTGCTGGACGAGCAGCAGGTGGTGGTCCTCGCTGGTGGTCACTGGGTTGCAACGTGTAATGAGTGGTGGTGGTCCTCGATGGTAGTGCTTGGATTTGGGGCTTCGATCGTTGGGTGGTGCTGGGTGGGCGTGGGTGGTCAGTCGATGGTAGTGGTTCTTCGAGGGGGGCTCAAATGACTGGTTTTGGGGGAAGAAGGCAATTTAGAGTGGGTTAAGGCTCAGCTCAGACCAGATAATTCGGGGGAAATAAGGGAGGAGGAGGAAAGAAGAGGAAAAAATAGAGTCAGGGTATTCCACTTAAAAACGTCAAATGGACTGACGTGTTTAAATAAAAACAACCCTTTCAAAAATGCTCATTCTATTGCAAAGAACATATATACACCATTACTGAAAACCAAGTCCCACTACTTGCAGCAATGATCCTTACAGGCCCTATCAATAAGATTGCAGAAAATAGGTCTAATGTACCGGACCTAAATAATGCAAAACCCCAATCTTCTAATCTAGAGCACTTTCCGCCGAGCTTCACTTGCTGCCATGTCATCTTGCTTATCATCTTCTGCAGCCACAACAACATTTTTCGTACTGTGCAAGTATTCTGCTCTTGAATATTTCGTCCAGAACTCTTTTTCTGTCATCTGGAATCCAGAAAATGTATACAATAACCCCAATGTAGAAGTTAGCTTAAAGTTAATGAGAAAAATACAAAAGGAGGTGATCTTTGAGGAAAAAAAATATTGCCACAAAAAAGAGAAAAAAGTTGCACATTCTCTAACCTTGCTTGGAACAAAATTTAGAAATGTCTGGCGTACAGCCGGTTTCTCAGCAAAAATCTGAAAGTCAATCCAACAATAAATAAGAGGGAGAAAGAAGTAGATGGCTACTGAGTCACAATGATATTATCAACAATTCTAACCAATAACTAACCATGCAAAGACAGATATGCATCAAAGTACAAAACTTTCTATCGTATCAAGCCGAGCACACTTAAGTCACCGGTTTATATACTACTCAAAATGCATGACTGATCCATGTCACCAATAGTGAGGAGCAAAAAGCTAACACAATTAAGTTCTGCAAGATGTAAATTTACACAAGTCAGTTAGGACAACAACTCTCCTCCCCTCCATTCTCTCCCCATCCTTTATTGGAACATCCACTTGAATCCAATCCAACATCTTCCCTTTCGCTTATCCCGTTAGAACTCTCTTTTGGTTTCTCAATAAATAAAGAATACAATGAATCAACGAAAGCAACTTTCCTCCCTTTTCAATGGGCAACAAAAGCAAGAGATATATTGTAATATTTTCCATTTGCTTTCATTTGCCTTTCACATATTTAAGCCAATCTTAAATTTATTTTTCTCCCCTAATTACATATTTACTCGGGCATCAAGCACATAGATATCAAAATCGTAGATACCCTAGCGTCGTCCCACATACCAGGGTCGTACGATCAGAAATAGAGTGGATTCACAAGCCAAATTGTTCAAATTGACCGACCAAATTGTAACTCAAACCCCATATCAAACCACGGTCCAACAAATCCCCAATTATAACTCTAACCCCAAAATATATCCATGGTTATTTCTTTAGTTTGATGATTGTTAAATTTATATCTTGATATGTTGTGATTTGAATTTTTTTTCGTAACACAAATATGCAACTCCTAACTTTTATTATTGACAACAAATAGTCAATATGTTGAGTTGAGTTGTAGCTGGCACGTGTCTTGGATTATGCGCTTTAGATTTTTTATCCTTTTTGAAATAAATATTAGTTAACCATGTGTATATGAATGTATATTTATATATAAATCTATACAGTGGTGAAGCGATCTCAATAAGAATTACAAAGTGAACTATGACTCAAAACAACATATCAACTAAGTTTACCCCCACCATAGCACATATCNATATCAACTAATTTTACCCCCACCATAGCACATATCAAAAAAAGTATCATACGTTGTACGTTGTAAGGTTAATGCCAGTGCAAACAAACAATATAAATACATAATTTACAACCTGCTCCCACTCCCCAAAACAACAACCACCAAACACATTCCATATAGACCTTGGCATATGTGTAAATTGTGGCTAGACAATCAAAGATCCAAGCATGTATAAACATAAGAAAGTGAGGCAGCTAGAGTGCTACTCTGCCAAAAGAGTATCACCAAATAATACTGCATCCAATTTACTAAGGCAAGTAGAGTGCTATGCTACTCTGTCAAAAGAGTATCACCACATCATACTAAAGTGAGGCAACTAGAATGCTACTCTGTCAAACGAGTATCACCACATTATAATGCATCCAATTAATTGACAAATACATGCACATTCCAGAATAGACTTTCATCAACGGTACTAATGTTGACCAAAAGAAAACGTGGCTATGCACCATTATTGATTAAGAATTGCAATGTCAAACAATATAACAGGTAAAATTCTGGATGAATCAAAAGAAAGAACAAGCCATACCTGGTGAATAATCTCGGGTGTCAAATTAAAAGTAACTTTGTTAGACTGAAAAAATAACATTCAAAGAAAATAAGCATTATAGAAATTGCCAGAAGTTACAAAAACTAGAAATGAGTCTACTTAGTAAACAATGCACCTCAAGTAATCTTGCAAGTAAAAAACAGAACTTAGAATTCATAACATACGTTTCAAACTTCACGAGAGAGAGAGAGAGAGAGATCTATGTTATACCGAACCATCAGAAGATGGTTTGACATGGAACATGTCATTTCTCAACCCCACCTGTTGTTTTGATTTTCTGCTGGCATTCTCATCCAGCAACTTCTGCACTTTATCGTAAAATAAACTTTTCTGTTACAGCTTTCCCAAGAGTATATCTAACTAATAAAAAGAGCACATCTCTCCAGGTAGACACACATAGGCTCACAGTTCAATTCGCTTATCCTAAAATCCATGTTCGTAGAAGCTGACATATTGGAAAAAAAATAACCAATAGCTAACCTTTCTTGTTGCCCAAAATTCAGCCTCTGATAGGACACCTCCAATCACTAACTGCTTATGAAGTTTCTGCAACTCACTGCAAATGATACCTTATCAACTAAAAGAGAAACTTACATGTGAAGAGACGAAATACTAAATTCAGCAGCCAATGATACAATGAAACTGGACATTTTATCAAAAGTTCTGTTCATATTTCACAAGAGTATGCCAACAGTTCCATAGGAATTCAGACATTACATAATTTGTAGTAACTTGCACAATGATACTACCTTGAAATCCACCTGGCATATAGTTTCAGAATAATATGTTTATGCAAAAGTAAGTAACTGATAAAAACGAACAACAAGATTCTTGTAGTCACAAAGTGCATAAGTTGAACAATAATTTGCCGTGGAACAAACAATTTTTGTCAAGATAACCGGAAGTGAGTTTACCTATCCTCCTGCAGTAGTCTAATCCGACGCTCCATCTCTGCATGGCTAAGTTGTTCATCTTGAAGTGGAGCAGCTGATCTCTCAGAACCAGCTCTTCCAGCTTCTCCGGATACTGCAATAGCTGTTGCTGTTTGCAAGTTAACAGATACAAAATCTTCATGTGAACAATTTCATCCAATATAAGCTACCCAATTCTATAAGAACTTTATCAAATCAAGACAGTATATTGAGGTTGATTATTCCAAACACTCTAGATGATGTCCAACTACGTACTTAATTATAGTTAATAAGAGAGACTTACCAACATATTCACGACAAGCATCACGATCAGAAAAAGTGTCAAATTCAAAAATGTAATTTCCTCCCTGGACACAAATAAGATTTTCAAGTTTAAGTCACTATAATTGAAGCAACAGTAAATATGCTTAGTTAGACACAAAAAAATATCAATATATCATGAAAAGTATTGTGCAATATCATGTAACGAACACTCATAGATTGAGTTCAACCTAACTGCCATAAGATTCAGCAACTGAACAAATTTAAAGGATTCCTAAAAGAACTGTCTAGAAGGTAATATAGCAGAGGAGAAACCTGATCCACTGTGAGATTAAGCAGGGCCTGTTTGTTGGAACCCTCCTTGGTAAATTTGTGACCTGAAAACTCACAACAAAGACAGATAGAAACACATTAACAACTTTGTCACAAAATAATAAGATGTGTGCTAAACAAAATGGACAATAAGATGGATTAATTAAAGGAACACTCAGCTTCCTACATCCAAAGCAATCCTGACGAACAGTATGACAAGGCGCATAGGTATTTTCGCAACAATTTTCCCGTTTTCATTTATAAACCGCAAAATGGCAATCAAAGACCACTCTTTTGGCACTACTTACATCTCATCCTAACCATCCAGCACTTCCAGCAAAAACAAAAAAAAAAAAAAAAAAACTCATAGACTGTAACATTGCATCATCTTGCAACTAACAATTGAAAACTCTCCTAAAGGATCAAGTGCATTAACAAACAAAGTACCTTTAACCAATCTAAACTCTACATTAAGCCTTGCAGATGATTTCGGATCATTTGGCATAAAAAAAAACCTCTCCCGAGTCTGCACGCAGTAACAACAATAAATTAGCAAACAATGAAGCATTTACACATGTAGAAACTTTGCTCAATTATCAAAAAAAATTACCATTTTCAGAACACTAGGAACTCCAAAGTCCTTGACTGACGATTTATACCTTGCACGCTTTATCACCTGCCCGTCAGTCATTTCCGGCGATCAGCGTCGTAGGAATTGGCAAAAAATAAACTTTTCCTGTACTGGTACACAGGATTTAAATCAATCAATTTGAGAATCTAATTTATATGGTAATCTGAATTTAAGAGTGAGAGAAGAGTGGGTCTAGGGCAATACAGAATGAATCAATCAGGGAACACCAGATTGGGACACTGGGATCTATCTAGGGTTTTTAAATTACAGGACAGTAACTAGTAATGGCCGGATTTGGGGAAGAAGGAGGAGAGTTCGGGAGTGAAGAAGGAGAGGTGTCCGTCTCGTCGTCTTCTCACTCACTGGCTTTCTGGGCGCCAACTAGGAAAATCTATTCGTACACAGAGACCTGTGCTCGTATATGTAGATGAGCTAGGCGGCCATCAGGGCTATTAGGAACGAAATGACGAAATTGTCCCCACGAAAACTTTAATGCAAATAAACCACTTTTTGTCCCAATTCTCCGAATTAGTTGGAAGTCCAAATGTCAATTTTATCCATTAAAATGGATACACACGAATTTGACTCCACATAAAATAAAAAATTCAGTGAGAGTTCAAATTTAATAGACTGATTAAACAGGTGAAAATCTAATAATTCGAAAAAAAAAATTGACATTATGAGACACCATTTGAAGACATGTTAATTAGAAACGGTTCAACATGTCTACGTATCTCCATAGAAAAAGTCATAATTATAGCTATGCTCAGAAAGTATGACATGAGTAACAGTTATTTCTTATAAATACCGAAGAGAAGGAAAAGAAGACTACAGAAAATTGATCCATTAAATTAACCAATTTCACACAAGTATATCAAAGCTTTGCTTTGTTTAGTATTGTCGGAACATGTGGTCGGAGATCTAGTCTCTGTCACCAAAGGATGTGGTCTCTATTGCCATGAATCTAGTCGCTATTGCTCGATGTGGTCTCTACACCATTGATTTGGTCGCTCGTGAGAGCCCATGTGAGAGAGAGAGAGAGAGAGAGAGGCTTCAAACGGTGGGTGTTAGTGTGAGGAAAGCAAATAGAGACCTAACAGACAGTAGTGTGCTAGTAGCGGTGGGTTCGCCATCGCTGCTATTGGTAGTGGATCTGGTGCAGTTAGCCAATAACAGAAGAGAGGGAGAGAAAGCGCAAGAGAGGAAGTGAATAGGCGTGAATTATGGAGAGGAGTTTAGGCCACAGGATTTGAAATCGTTAATGGAGAGAGGGATTTGGGTGTCAATTTTCAAGAGATAGGGGAGGAGAGATAAAAGAGTATAAAATGGAAAGTTTTTACTTAAAAACAAAAAAAAAAATTCCTTACCCAAAAAAAAAAACATAGAAATTAGACCGGTGGTTTGGTAATGATTTTATTTTAGTATTTTTTTTAAAAAAAATAGAAATAATTTTTATTTTATTTGATGATAAATAATAAAAATAAAAATATGTTTGAAAGTTATTTATTTTTATCTTTTTACGAAAACAAAATAAAAAAATATATTTAATTTACCGGTCCAAGTTATTCAAATACAAATCAATATTTATAATATCATGTACAATAAAATACAAATTAAAATTTATTATCTCAAAAGATTCGTTAATTCATCAAATAACACATAAAATAAAATAATTAGATTAAATAAGTCATTAAACATATCACACATTCAACACACAGCACACGTTCAACAGATCAGCACACACAAACTCACACACATCGATACATAACACATAAAATGACACAGAATTGTTTAGGAAAAAAACAAAAAAAAAAAAAAAAATGGGGACCTATTCAATGCCTATATATATATATATATATACACATAGATCTAAAAGTGTTTACCCTATAGTGCACAGCGAGAGACAAAAAGATTGATGGAATTTCTGCATAGATGACTTCTTCGGGTTCTGGGTTCAAAGCATCGAGGAGCAAAGCTTCATTGCCTTTTTTGAGTGTGTTTGTTCTTTGGCAGTTTTCATCGTCCAAAACAGAGAGATGAGAGATGTGTGTGCGTGTGTGTGAGACCAGAGCGAGACAACAAAAACCCACAATTTATACCTACATAACAAAAAAGGGCTAATTTCAACTTACACCCTAAAAGATCATTCGAATTTTAATTTATACCCTCAAAGTTTAAAAATATCAATTTATACCCTAAAAGACATAAATTTATGTTAATGTGCACCAGGGGTTGGCTACCATCCATTTTGCCGTTAAAAAAGTTTGGAATAATTACAAACTACACCTTTAAAGTTTAAATATTTCACATTTATGATTAAAAAAGAATTTATCTATTAATACTTGTTAAATACCTCTCAATTGTGTCGTATCACGTTATTTTGTATCATGTCATATCATTTTCGTGTTGTGTTCAAGTCGATAAAAAAATATTTTTAACACAAAATATTTTCATATTGAGTCAATTGCATTATGTCGTATATTTCACATTTACGACAATTTATATAATATTATTTAATATTTTTTTTAAATTACAAAAAATACTTATTTTTTTACCTACAATGCTCATTAAATAGCTATTTTTTTTCTACACTTGTGTTATTCAAATCTAACTTATAATTTGATCGAACAGAAAATTTGTGTTTAATTGTAGACAAAAACTATTTAACAAGTATAATAAGCAAAAAATATGTATTTTATAATTTTTTAAAATTTTGTTTATTGATTCGAACATGACACAATATGTTATGGTACAATACAATTGAGAGCTAATTAACGAGTATTAATGAAAGAAATACTATTTTTGGATCATAAATATGAAAATTTTGAGTTTTAAGGCTGCAATTTATAATTAATCCAAACTTTTTTAACGACAAAATGAATGACAGTTAATCTGAGGTGCACATTGATACGAATTTATGTCTTTAAGGTGTAAATTGATATTTTTAAATTTTGAGAGTACAAATTGAGATTCAAGTAATCTTTCAATATACAAATTAAGATTAGCCCTAAAAAAATAATCCAATGTTGTTGTTAACAAGGTTCGAGACCTCATTAAAAATTTGGGAGAATTATACTCAGACTTCTTGAGATTTGTCATTTAATCACTTAGATCCTCTGATATTTGAAATGTTATACACAACCCCCTGAGATTTGTATGCGACTTACACTTAAACCCATGTCGTCAATGTGTTAATAAATCCATTAATAAATTACATCCATAACCCTTTAAGTTTATAGCGTGTAATACTTAGACCCCTCAAGTTTGAAATATTATACTTAGATCAAAAATACTACAATTAAAAATAGAATATCAAATATTTTAAATTTTACAACTAAAATTCATATTCTATTATTAAATTTATTGAAATAAAATAAAAAATAAAAATCTATTTTAAAAAAAAAATCATAATTAATATATAATCATACTATCTATTGGAATTTAATTTAGTCATTTAAATGACCAAATTACTCTAATTAAAACTAAAATATATTATGTTCGTTATAGTTTGATAGTCTTATCTTACTTAATAACTCACGTTTGTTCAGTTGAATGAATGTGAATTAAAACCTCTTTGAATACTCCATCCGTTGCCTGTTGCCTTCTCCTCCAGGTTTTCGGTCTATGATTCTTGGGGCAGAGCCTACTAATACCTGATATATAAAGGCGCAGACCATTTGGTCATTTAAACGACCAAATTATCCCAAGTAAAATTAAAATATATTGTGTTCATTATAGTTTAACCTCTAATTTGATTTTTTAGTTTTATTTCAATAGATATTATAATTATATATTAATTATGAATTTTTTAAGAAAAAAAATAATTTTTTATTTTTGATTTTATTTCAATAAATGACATAATAAAATATGAATTTTGGTTTGTAAAATTCATGTTATGTTATGAATGACTTAAATCTCATGCTTGATTTTTTTAGTTTTGTTTCAATAGATAGTATAATTGTATATTAATTATTATTTTTTGAAAAAAATTTGACTTTTATTTTTAATTTTATTTCAATAAATGATACAATAGATAATGAATTTTGGTTATAAAATTTAAAATATTTTATATTCTATATTTGATTGAGATATTTTTTGTCTAATTATATCATTTTAAACTTAAGGGATGTAAATATTATATACTTACAAACTTTAAGGGGTCTGAATTTAATTTATTAACAGATATACTAACAGACATTTGACGGCAGGGGTCTAAATATTACGCGTGTACAAACCTTAATGGGTTTGTGTATAATATTTTAAATTTTAGAGGGTTTGAATGATTAAATGACAAACCTCAGCGGTTTGAGTGTAATTCTCTCTAAAGAATTTTGAGTCAAAATTCACGTGTTTCAGTTTTGGGTTGTTTCCCAAAACATCAGTTTTTTATTCCCATTTTTTTAGCTTGTTTCCAAGACAACATAGATGAAACAAAAACAAAAATAATTACCAAACACATTTCTTTTTTTTTTTTTTTAAAAAAACTCAAAACAAATATATAAAACAGCAAACAAACAACCCCAAAGTTTTTTGGGCGATATAAAATTTTAGGAATTCATTTTGGTGCGTAGAAACAATAAATTTTGAGATAATCTTAGATAGTAAAGGGCAGTTTGGTTGGTTTTTTGGGTTTGGATTGATTTGTCCAAACCCTTCCAATCCCAGAGATGAGATTCAACATTCAATGCAGTCCATATCCATGTTTAGTATGCGCATTGATATATAATTATTATGATAATATATTTGTAAATAAATCACTATTGTACTCCTTAACTAATTTAATCCAAATTCATGTTTGTTTAGGTACATGGGTTTTATGGGGGCATAAATGTTATTTTATATATTAAACCCATTAAGCCCCATATGAAACCCACCCCTCACTGGGTTTCATGAAACCCATGAATTTGGGTTTAAATTGCGGACTGGGTTTAGTAAATTACGTTACAAATGTAGATGTCAAACATGGGTTTGTTGGGCTTTGTGGACTTTTATTCCTCAACCCATTTTCCAAATCCCTCTTTGTCCCACATACCAAACAGGTCCTAACAGTTTGAGACAAA